GACAGTTTCACAGATCGCAGCCCCCCAGGGATGGCGAGGTCTAATTTGAATTTGCGGTGGGTACCCACTGTGCTGGGCCCCCCAGCAGGCCTCGAAAGTGGCGACAGCTTCACAGATCGCAGCCCCCCAGGGACGGCAAGGTCTAATTTGAATCTGCGGTGGGTACCCACTGTGCTGGGCCCCGCAAGCAGGCCTCGAAAGTGGCGACAGTTTCACAGATCGCAGCCCCCCAGGGAAGGCGAGGTCTAATTTGGGTCCGCGCGTGGCGTCACTGTGCTGGGCCCCCAGCAGGCCTCGAAAGTGGCGACAGTTTCACAGATCGCAGCCCCCCAGGGATGGCGAGGTCTCATTTGAATCTGCCCGTGGCCCTCACTGTGCTGGGCCCCCCAGCAGGCCTCGAAAATGGCGGCAGTTTCGCAGATCGCAGCCCCCCAGGGATGGCGAGGTATAATTTGAATCCGCGCGTGGCCCTCACTGTGCTGGGCCCCCCAGCAGGCCTCGAAAATGGCGACAGTTTCGCAGATCGCAGCCCCCCAGGGATGGCGAGGTCTAATTTGGATCCGCCCGTGGCCCTCACTGCGCTGGGCCCCCCAGCAGGCCTCGAAAATTGCGACAGTTTCACAGATCGCAGCCCCCCGCGGGCAAGACAGGAAGAGGCGGGAGGCGGGAGAAGGGACGCGACCACACTGCTCTATTCAAAACGAATACCCAACCAAGGAGGGTTGGGAATAAAACATACCCCCAAAATACCCCAAAAAGGTCAAAACATACTCCAACAATAGCCCCCAGACTATTTTTGGACTATTGTTTTATTATTTTTTGGGTATTTTTTATTTTTCGTCGCAAATCCCCCTGTAGGGGGACAGGCCCGACTTAGCACTCGCGCCCGCTTTCTCCAGCTTCCCCCGCCTTGCCGCTCTCGCCCCGCCTGGCCGCCCTGCTGCCCTCGCCGCCCCGTGCCCCCACGGCAGACCTCGCATGCTGGCGCCGTCGTGCTCGCGTGCTGGTTGTGCTCCCCCCTTTGCTCCACGGTGCCGCCCTGCCGCTGCCGTGCGGGCGTCCCGGGCCGCGGAGGGAGGGCGCGGGAGCTGGACAGCGAAGTTCTCTCTCTCTCTCTCTCTCGCCCGACTCCTCCCGTCCTGCCCGCATCCTCTCGCTGCCGCCTTCGCGCTCGCCGAGGTCTTCTCGCAGGGTGCCGTGAAGGCCCGTGGGCGGAGCGCTGCGGCTGCAGCGAGCGTTGCCGTGCTGTGAGGGGGAGAGGGAGAGGGAAAGAGAGAGAGAGAGATAGACAGAGAGAGAGAGAGAAGGAGAGGGAGGGGCATATGCTGACCGTTCTCAGAAATGGGGAACAGAGGAGAGCGAAGAAAGGATGTACGATGTTGCGGTAGCGTCGAAGGGGAAGGGATGCAATGGGGAGGGCAGAGCCACTTGTGCTGCAGATAGGAGGAGGACAGAGGAGCCTCTGGGGCTGCTCGCTGGAAATAGTCGGGTATCGTCATGTTGGCTGGTGAAGTGGACATGCCCCCAGGTCTCGGACGGGTGCGGCAACCACGTTTGCGAAGCCATGGCTTCCTATATAACTGTCCCTCATTCTTTGTTATTTTCCACATCACCTAAGTATGGGGCTCTTGTTTTCATTCGGATGCCTCCACTTCCTCAACTCCCGCCTCCTTCCCCTTTTCATGCCACTGACACTCGGGCACACGCATACTCAGACTCACTCGTTCTAAACTTCACTGATGCTCAGACCCACTCCCACTCATACCCATTCATACAAAGACTCGCACATTATCAGACGCACTCGTACAGACACGCACCACTCACCCACACTGCAACTCTTACCCACACCACCCATTCAGTCAGAGCCCCATGCTTATCGCGATGTCGCCGGCGCGGCATTCGAGCACTCCAAGGAGAAGCCGCCAGGGGGTATGACACTTGCCCGTTCACGCCCAGAATGTGGGGATGCTTGAGGCGGCTTGCAAGTTTGGTTGATCAAATGTTTTTCTTTTCAGAGCCGCACGCTCATCGCGATATAGCAGGCCTGGCATATGAGCACCCCAAGGAGAAGCCGCGAGATGGCGTCTGACATTTGCCCGTTCGCGTTCAGATGGTGGAGAGTTCTCAGGCAGCTTGCCTGCTCGATGGGTGAGGGTTCTTTCTTTCCAGCGGCCCATGCTCAACGCGATGCAGCAAGCGCGGCGTTAGAGCACCCCGAGGAGGAGCCGCCAGGGGTGGGGACATGTGCGCGCCCAGATGATGGGGATGTCTGAGGCGGCTTGCCTCTTTGGTTGATCAAGCTTCCCTGCTTTCAGAGCCGTCATGCTCACCGCGATGGAGCAGGCATGGCATGGCACTTCACCATGGGACACCTCCACTTCTTCACCTCCCGCCTCCTTCTCCTTCCCAACTTACTGGCACTCGGACACATTCATGTTCAGACTCACTCACACTCAGAGTCACTGACACTCAGATTCGCTCTCACGCAGACCCATTTATATTCAGTCGCGCATCATCATATTCCTCCGAACACACCACTTTCATTCTATTCATTCGCAGACACACATCATTCATACAGTCAGTGCCTCATGCTCACCGCAATGTAGCAGGCGTGGCACTTGAGCACCCCAAGGAGGAGCCGCCAGGGGGTATGGCATTTGCCCGTTTGCGCCCAGATGTTGGGGATGTGTGGGCCAGTTTGGATGTTTGGTGGATCAGATTTTTCAGAATCCGATGCTTATCGACATGTAGCAGGCATGGCATATGAGCACCGCAAGGAGGAACCGCAAGGGTGTATGACATTTGCCTGTTCGCGCCCAGATTGTGCGACTGTCTGAGGTGGTTTGTATGATGGCTGGTCGGACTTCTTCCTTTTCAGAACCGCGCGCTCGTCGCGATGTAGCAGGCGTGGCACTTGCAAAAAGGAGCCGCCAAAGGGTATGGCATTTGCCCGTTCGCGCCCAGATTGTGGGGATGTTTGAGGCGGCTTGCCTCTTTGGTTGATGAGACTTCTTTTCAGAGCTCCACGCCCCACGCTCATCGCGGTGTAGCACGCGTGGTACTTGATCACCCCGAGGAGGAGCCACCAGCGGGTTTGACACGTGCACGTTCGCGCCCAGATGATAGAGATGTCTAAATGTCTGAGCCGGTGTGCCTGTTTGGTTGATCCGATTTGTTTGTGTTCGAAGCCCCATGTTCATCGCGATGTAGCAGGCGTGGCGTATGAGCACCCCAATGAGGAGCCGCAAGGGGATACGACATGTGCCCGGTCGCGCCGAGATGGTAGGGAGGTCTCGGGCACTTTGCTTGTTTGGTTGATCCGATTTTTTCGTTTCGGAGCCCTATGTTCATCGTGATGTAGAAGCGTGGCATTTGAGCGCCCATAAAAGGAGCCGCCAGGGCTTATAAAATTTGTCTGGTCGCGCCCAGACTGTAGGGACGTCTGGGGCAGTTTTTTTTTTTTTTTGTTTTTTTTCCCAACCATCCTGTGGTTGTTGGGTCCGTGTTGGGTCCCTCGTTTTGAAGAGGACTCGCCCCGCATCCCTCCTTCCTCCTTCCTATCCTCCCCTTCTCCCCCCTCCTCCCCCCTCCCACACCCATTTCGGCACACCCCTCACACGTTTCGTGGCCCCATAGGGAGCTCCACCGAAGGCCCCATGGCTGCCGTCCGCATGCGTCCCGCACACCCATTTCGGCACACCCCATCACACGTTTCGTGGCCCCACAGGGAGCTCCACCGAAGGCCCCAGTGCTGCCGTCCGCATGCGTCCCGCACACCCATTTCGGCACACCCCTCACACGTTTCGTGGCCCCAGAGGGAGCTCCAACGAAGGCCCAGTGGCTGCGCCCGCCATGCGGTTCCACCCCCCATTCTAGCACTACCCCTACAGTTTCGTGGCACCATAGGGAGCCTCCACGAAGGCCCAGTGGCTGCGACGGCATGCGGTTCCAAACACAACCATTTGGCACACCCTAACAATGTCGTGGCCCCATAAGGGAGCTCCACCGAAGGCCCCAGTGGCTGCGCCGCATGCGTCAACCCCCCATTCTGCACACCCCACCGCCACACTTTTCGTGGCCCCATAGGGAGCTCACGAAGCCCCAGTAGGCTGCGCCCGCAATGCGGTTCCACCCCCCATTCTTAGGCACACCCCTCACACGTTTCGTGGCCCATAGGGAGCTCCACCGAAGGCCCCAGTGCCCGCGCCCGCATGCGTCACCCACACCCATTTCGGCACACCCCTCACACGTTTCGTGGCTCCATAGGGAGCTCCACCGAAGGCCCCAGTGCCCGCGGCCGCATGCGTCACCCACACCCATTTCGGCACACCACTCACACGCTTCGTGGCTCCATAGGGAGCTCCACCGAAGGCCCCAGTGGCCGCGGCCGCATGCGGTTCCAGCCTTCATTCTGGCACTCTGGCACACCCCTCACACGCTGTGGCCCCATAGGGAGCTCCACCGAGGCCCCAGTGGTGCGCCCCCGCATGCGGTTCCACCCACCCATTGGCATAACCCTCCACACGCTTTCGTGGCCCATAGGGAAGCTCCAGAGCTCCACTAAAGGCACCAGTGGCTGGGCCCGCATGCGGTTCACCCCCCATTCTGGCACACCCCTCACACGCTTCGTGCCCCATAGGGAAGCTCCACGAAAGGCCCAGTGGCTGCGCCGCATGTTGGCGCTTCCCCCCCCCATTTCTGGCACACCCTCCAGTTTCGTGGCCCCATAGGGAGCTCCACCGAAGGCCCCAGTGGCTGCGCCCGCATGCGGTTCCACCCCCCATTCTGGCACACCCCTACCACGTTTCGTGGCCCCATAGGGAGCTCCACCGAAGGCCCCAGTGGCTGCGCCCGCATGCGGTTCCACCCCCCATTCTGGCACACCCCTCACACGCTGCGTGGCCCCATAGGGAGCTCCACCGAAGGCCCCAGTGGCTGCGCCCGCATGCGGTTCCACCCCCCATTCTGGCACACCCCTCACACGTTTCGTGGCCCGGGGGCGCCACCGAGGAATATATCCACAATTGCGGTATTCACAACTACGTATGGTTGGGTCTTTCGTCAGGCTAATTGTTGATATGATTTTTTCAGAGCCCTTATGCTCACCGCAATGTAGTAGGCGGGGCATTTGAGCACTCAAGGAGGAACCGCAATTGGTTGTAACATGGGCCCCTTCGCGTTCAACGTGTGGGTGTTTGAGGCGGCTTGATTGCTTGGTGGCGCAACTATATTTCTTTTCGTAGCCGCGCGCCCACTGCGAATTGGCAGGCGTGGCTCTGTTGAGAGCCTCAGGGCCGGAGACGTATAGCAAGCACAGTACGTAAGCACCCCAAGGAGGGGCTGGCAGAGGGGGTTAAGACATGTACAGGTTTGTGCTCGGATTGTGGAGATGCCTCAGGCGGTTTGCTGGTTTGGTGGGCCAGATTCCTGTCTGCATTACGCTAATTCCAATGTGGCAGGCATGCCGTGTGAGCGCCCCAAAGAGTAGCCGCCACGAGGTAGGAGATTTCGGCGCCAGACTGGGTGTGTATGGCGGGCTTTCGGCCCTCTTCCGCGTTCGGTGTTCTCTTCAGTATTCTCGTCACCCTCCTAGCCTGCTTTGGAGACGAACAATCAACAATCAACGCAAAGAGACCAGCCAGAAACATTCCTGAGTAGCGAACGATTCCCTGTAGGAAGGATTCCTTCAGTAGGAACGATGAGTAAGGATTCCGTGCGTGGGTATGCCTGTAGCAAGGAAGCCCTACTAAAGGAATCTTTCCTAAGACATTGTTGCACAGGAGTCCTGGGAAACTTCACTGGAGGAGTATGTAAAGAACCCTAATTCATGAACCCGTACTGAAGGGATCTTTCTTTTCCCAAGAGGGATCCGTCGTAAGGAATCGTTTCTGAAGGAGTCCTTATTTAATGGACCCTTAGTAATAGGGATCCTTGTTACAAATCCTGATGGGGATGTAAGTCCCTCTGCACTGAGAGAGCGCAACAATATTGATTTCAATCGGTTTCGTTCTGCAGTAGGACTCCGTCATTGCGATACCATTCCATTTGCTCTGGTTGCAGTCTGGTTTCCTTTGTACTAGGATGTCCTTCGTAGGGGATCTTTGCTTAAGGAACCCTTAGTGCAATAGGATTCCCTTTGCAAGGCTGGGGCGGCAACAACCGTGAGAAAGCACACTGCGACCACTATCACAGAGAGAGCGTGATCCACCGTCGCTTTACTGTGGAAAATTGCCGCCCTTTTCCTCCGGAACCCGGGGGTCCGCCCCCCCCCCCCTCCGAAAATCCCCCCCCCCCTGTTGGACCCCCCCCCCCCTCCCCTGGCAAACCCCCCCCCTCCCCTAACCCCTCCCCCCCCCTCCCCCTCGAAAACCGGGGGGGGTCACTACCGTTCGAACCCCACCCCCCCCCTCGAAAACCGGAGGGGGGGTCACTACGGTTCGAACCCACTGAGCTGTCCCACTGTTCCCACCCACTGTCCCCACCACTGTCCCCACTGTACCTCTGTCCCATTGTCCCACCGCCGTCCTCGCCACCGCCTTCACCACTGTCCCTACCACCACTGTACCCTCCACTGTCCTACTGTTTCCACCACATTCCCACTGTCCCCACACCACTGTCCCCACCACCACCGTCCCCACCACTGTCCCACTGTCCCCACTGTTCCCATCATTGTCCTCACCATTGTCCCCACCACTACCGTCCCCACCACTGTCCCACTGTCCCCACCACTGTCCCGCTGTCCCCTCACCACTGTCCCCACCACCACCGTCCCCACCACCCACTGTCCACCCCCCCCCTCTGTTTTCGAGGGGAGGGGGGGGGGGTTCGAACCTGGTAGTGACCCCCCGGTTTTCGAGTTCGACGGGGGGGGGGGGGGTTCGAACCGGTAGTGACCCCCCCCCCTTTTTCATGATGAACTGGGGGGGGGGGGGGAGGGGGTTCGAACGGTAGTGACCCCCCCAGTTTTCCAGAGGGGGGGGGGGGGAGAGGTTCGAACCGGTAGTGACCCCCCCCGGTTTTCCGCCAGCAGCGGTAGAACACGCTCTTTCTTATCACAGGACAACAGTATGTATACATATTTACAGATACCTCTCTAGCGAGATACAGAGAAGGGAGAACACGAGACAGAGACACAGGAAGAGAGCGAGAGAGAGAACGAAGGAGAGAGGGAGAGAGAGAAAGAGAGATCGATACCTATTTATATACATATATATATATATATATACATTTTTATATATATATATATATATACATATGTAAATGCGTATATGTATAGAAGATCGGAGGTTGGGGGGTAAGATCGCAGTGGAACGGAGACCCCCAACCGGGAAATCGTTTCGTGTCGTTCGTGTCGTGCGTGCTGGCGGGGCGAAGCTGCGTGGGCGCGCGAGAGGAATGAACCCGCCGTTGTTAGGGCGAAGTCGACACAAATGATTCTCCCCCTCCCGCCCGTCCGGCGGTGGCTCGCGGTGTCCCGCGGTGTCGCGTGGTGTCCCGTGGTGTCCCGTGGTGTCCGCCGTTGCTAGGGCGAAGTCGAGACAAATGATTCTCCCCCTCCCGCCCGTCTGGCGGTGGCTCGCGGTGTCCCGCGGTGTCCCGTGGTGTCCCGTGGTGTCCCGTGGTGTCCGTCGTTGCTAGGGCGAAGTCGAGACAAATGATTCTCCCCCGTCCGCCCGTCCGTCCGTCCGTCCGGCGGTGGCTCGCGGTGTCCCGCGGTGTCCCGTGGTGTCCCGTGGTGTGCCTTGGTGTCCTGTTGAGTGAAGTCGATAGTGAGATCGATATTGAGATCGATACTGAGATCGATGCTGAGATCGATGTGGTGCACTGAGGTGTCCCGTTGTGTTCCGTGGTGTCCCAAAAGTGAGATCGATAGTGAGATCGACAGGTAACCCGTGGTGTCCCGCGGTGTCCCGTGGTGTCCCGTGGTGTCCCGTTGAGTGAGATCGATAGTGAGATCGATCGTGAGATCAATGTGGTGTCCCGAGGTGTCCCGTGGTGTCCTGTTGAGTGAGATCGATAGTGAGATCGATAGTGCGACCGATAGTGAGATCGAGAGGTGTCCCGCGGTGTCCCGTGGTGTCCCGTGGTGGCCCGTGGTGTCCCGTGGTGTCCCGTTGAGTGAGATCGATATTGAGATCGATAGTGAGATCGAAAAGTGTCGCGTGGTATCCCGTGGTGTCCCGTTGAGTGAGATCGATAGTGAGATCGATTTAGTCAGATGTTGGTTCCCCCCCTCCCCCGCTATACAAAATCCTTATCACCCGAAGGGTGGTCGTATTGGTACATATACACAAGAATGCAGTGGCGCTTCGCGCCATGCACCTTGGTCCCTGAAGTTTAGTATGCAGGCGGAATGGCAGGAAGATCAAGCCGACAATTTAGAGATACCTTCTTGTTGACTTTTCTGGCATCGCCGTTATACTAATGTTCTTCGTTATCCTTCCTTCATGCTTCTTTTTCTTCTTTCTCGCCATACCCTGCGCATTCTCCCCATCCTCCTTGGTGCTTTTTGCGGAGGCTCCTCCTTGGCGAGCCTCTGGGGACCTCACAACAGTTTTTCAGGCTTTCTTGAGGCCTTCTGGAGGCCTCCTGGGCGTGTTCTGGGGGCCTCTGGGGGCTTCCTCGGGCCACCCTGCCTCCAACCGCGGTCTCCGTGAACGACCGGGTCACGATTTGGAAAGCTTCGGAGGGTGTCTTAGGGCCATCTTGGGCCGCCATGGGGCTCTCTTAGGGCCATCTTGGACCCTTGTTGTACCGTTTTGGAGGAGTTCTCTTGGACAGCCTGGAAGCTCTTTCGGATGGTTGCGGGGCGATTTTGGAGCTTCTCTGCCGGCTTCGGACGCCCAGAAGACCGCCGTCTTGGAGCGTCGGGAAGCCGAAAAGAGAAGAACCCCAAAATTAATCAAAAACCTACAGTTTTTTTTGTTTTGCCTCTTGGGGCCTTCTTGGGAGTGCTCTTGGAGGCCTCTTGGGATGTTTTGGAGCGATCTTTGGGGGTATGACGGCTTCTTGTCTTGGGGGTCGTTTTGGACCGTATTGGGGCCTTCTTGGGTCGTTTCGGGAGCGCGCCGGAACGCTTGGAACCCGTCTGTGGCCGTCTTCGGGCTCTCGTGAGGTTCTCCCGGGTCGTCTGAAGGGTTGCCCGAAGGCCCGGGGAGGGCCAAATTCGTTGGGGGCGGGGCCTTTTTCCAGTGTCCTTGGCCTTGCAAAAATATGTGAATAGGCATGTTGCAATAAATTGATTGCTCCACACATCTTTCCACGTTGCTTGGATCACATTTGCTGCTTAACACCCATTGCACCACCTCGTGTTCTAGAACACGTTGCTTGGGGTCCACGTTGGCGGACATTATTCGTTACACCGGATTTCGAAACGGCTGGCGCCGCCGACCATGAAGGGAGACGACGACGACCACGGAACACATTCAAGTTTTAACATGACAAATCATGGATTGCGCCATCGTGCGATTATTTTGGAAGTGTTTTGGGGGCTTTCTTGGGCCTCTTCGGGGCCTTTTTGAAGTTTTTTGTCGCCTCCTGGGGCCTCCTGAGGGCCTCTTGGGCCGTTTGGGATTGTTTCGGCAGCCTTTTTGGCCGCGTTGGTGCGAATGTTTTGGTTTGTTGGGCCGCCTTGGAGCCTCAAACGCAACAACTCATGAAAATAAGTGATGTTCGCCTCTTGGTGCCCCCTTGGGATTCCTCTTGGAACTTTCATGCGGCGTTTTGGAGATTCCTGAGGCCGTCTTGAGGTATCTTGGAGCGATTTGGGGCTGCTCCAGGGCCTTTCTGGAACAAGCCGCGCTGCAAGCGAGTTCGAGGCGTCTGGGAGGCCAGAAATCAAAAGGGGAACGCTTTTCCCAGGAGCGGGGGTGCTACTCTCCGCGGGGGCGGGGTTCGCAACCCCCCAGACTCCCCCCACCACCCCCCGGGGACCCCACCCGGGACACCCCATCCGGGACCCCACCCGGGACACCCCCCTGGGGACCGCCCTTCCTCCACCCCGCGGGGAGTGATCAAGAGGAAGCGGCTTTCCTTCGACTCGATTACGACGTTGTTCGATTTCCATCCAGCTGGAGCTGGAATGCTTCCGGGGGAGGGCTTTGGGGAAGAGTGGAGCAGCGACGGCGGCGGGGGCTGCGGCGGCGACGGCGACGGCGACGGCGACGACGACGGCGACGGCGACGACTCAAGCGGAAAGGCGTCTCACACACAGACACACACACACAAACACACAAAACACACACACACACACAAACACACCGAAAGGGTCGTCTTGTATTGTTTCGATGGGAATGCTTCCGGTATTTCAACGTGGTGTTGCTGGTGCAACGCGGGCGTCATTTTAGGATCGGCGCTGTGCTCCCGTCGTTCAGAACTGCGCTTTCGCCCCAGCGCGGGCCACTTTTCTGGACGAATCCTTCCTCATCGTTGTCTACCCTCTCCTCTTCCCTCCTCCGTCTTCCCCTGGTCCCCTGCTCCTACTGCTGTTCCTCCTTGTCCTCCTCTTGCTCAGCCTCCTCTTCCTCCTCATCCTCCTCCTCCGCCGCCTCCTCGTCCGCCGCCTCCTCCAGCGCAACTGGAAGCAATGGGTGGGAGGGGTAGGATGTCACGTATGGCGTGGGCGTGCCTGCCTCGCCCTGTGCCCCCCCCCCCCCCCCGCACGAGGCGTGGGGCGACGGCCAGGAGGAGTGCAGCTCCTACTTCGAGGAGCTCTGCTCCGGCAACTGCTGGTGGGGCGAGGAGCCCCGCACACTGGCCTGCACCCGCCGCGGGAGCGGCCGGTGGACCCAGACCCCCGACGGCTGGGCCCTGCCGGGCCGCCGGCCCCGTGGAGCTCCCGACGCCCCGCTCCCCCGCTAGCGAGGCTGCCAGCGGTGGTCCCGGCGTGTCCTCTGCGCCTCGCTCCGCTCTGGGCCTCCCGGGGCCCCTCCGGGCCTCGCGGGGGCCCAGGTGGCCCCGGAGGGCCCCTTGTCAAGGGAGCAAAAAGATCACTCAGGCCCGACGGCTGGCGCTTACGAAAAACGGCCCTATGGGCGTTGATGCTGAACAGCCCTGCCCTGCTCGATTCCTTCCCCGGGTGCGTTTCCCGAGCGGCTTCTCGCTTGTCGGGGTGGTTCTTCTGGGGGGGGATATTCTGTCCTCTATACCCGGGGGCCCTCAGGGGGCCCCTCGGGCCGTCTTTCCCAGGGATCCGCCACGGGCTGGGCTCCAGGAGGAGGAGGAGGAGGAGGAGGAGGAGGAGGAGGAGGAGGAGGAGGAGGAGGAGGAGGGGGAGGGGGAGGAGGACAAGCTAGGTGCGCTCGCGTCATATCTGACGTCCTACCCCTCCCTCCCATCCCTTACCATGGCGCTGATTTTCTCTATCCGCGGACGCGTGTCGTAGCGGACCTGTGGCTCCGCGCGCGCGTGCGTAGTGGGTGGTGGTGCGCGTGCGTGCGTGCGTGCGTGTGTGCGTGGTTGTGGTGGTGGTGGTGGTGGTGTGTGGTGGTGGTGGTGGTGGTGCTGGTGCTGTGCTGGTGCTGGTGCTGGTGATGGGTGCTGGTGCTGGTGCTGGTGTGCTGGTGGCTGGTGCTGGTGCTGGTGTGGTGGTGGTGGTGGTGGTGGTGGTGGTGGTGGTGGTGGTGGTGGTGGTGGTGGTGGTGGTGCGGCGCGGTGGTGGCGGGCGGATGGGCGCGCGAGAAAGAGGCCCGCGCTGGGGCGAGAACGCCATCCTGAACGACGGAGGCCAAACACCGATCCGAAAATGAGGCCCACGCTGCAGCGGGAGCACGATTCGGAACGATTCGGGAGCAGAAATGAGGCCGGCGCCTCAGCGAGAGCAGCATTTTAGAAAAAAACACAAGCGAAAACCCAACTCCGGGGAATCCTGTGTGTAAAAAAACAGTACGCGGGGGGGTGCCGAATATCTTCCGGACGCCATCAGGGGAAGTGGGAGAGTATTTTCATATTGTGTAATTGTGGAGGAGGAGGAGGAGGAGGAGGAGGAGAGGAGGAGGAGGAGGAGGGAGGAGGAGGAGGAGGAGAGGAGGAGGAGGAGGAGGAGGAGGACGAGGAGGAGGACGAGGAGGAGGAAGCTGGGAGCAGCTCCTCGGGCCAGGGGCGGTCCTCGGCGGCCCCCGAACGTGGCCTCGGGCGCGCGCCCCCCCGCCGCCGGGCGTCGCGCGGCGGCCCTCTGCGGGAGCTCCCTCGCCCTCCGAGCCCCCGCGGGTCTCGGAGGCCTGCGCGGCCGGCCCCTGGGCTGGGCGGGTCTGGGGCCGCGGCGCGGGCCCCTCCGTCCCCGGCCGCTCGCGGCGCGGAGTGCCGCCCGCCCGCCTGCGTGCGCGTGGGGGGGGGGGGGTAAGGCGCTGCTCCCCTCGCGACCGCCCCCTCGCGAGAGCGGTGCTGCCGATCTCCCACTGGGTGGAGCCGCCATGTCTCTCCGCGCCGCGTGGTCCGGGCCGGCCCGGCGTCGATCTCCCACCGGGTGGGTCCAGGATCTCCGCGCCGCGTGGTCTGGGCCGGCCCGCGCGCGTCTCGCTCTCGCTCGGCCTGCACTGCGCCGCGCCGCTGCGCGCGCGGCCGGGGGCGGATGGGCCTCCCCGTCGTCTCTGCGTTCCGCCCCTTCGCTCTTCCCCTATTGCTCGGCTTCGCTGCGCCCCGCCGCCGTTCCCCCACCGCTGCTCGGGCCCGAGCGGCTGCCGGCGCGAGGCTGTGCGGGGGCGGTGTGGGAGGCCCGGGTGGGCCAGTGGCCTTCGCACGGCGGCGGCGCGCAGGAGAGCGGGAGGGAGGCGGGGCGGCACGCAGAAGGGGGCGGCCGGCCCGAGGCGGCCGGGGGCCTCCAAGAGAAGGGGCCCGCGGGGGGCCTCTGCGGATGAGGGGCAGCGCCGGGGGGAGAGAATGAGAGGCTCGAGGGGAGAGCGCGCCGACGACCCGCGATCGCCCATGCACCACCGACAGTGGCCAGGACGGCCCGCCCCTCCCAGGGAGAGGTGGTTTCGCTGTCGCGGGCCGATCGCCGCCCCAGTGGTGGGTGTGTCGCCGATTCGAGCTAAAAACCACACCGACCAGACAATTGGCGTTTACTCAACGGCCCTGGGCGTTTACTAAACAGCCCTGCCCTGTTCGATTCCTTGTTTGGGCGCGTTTACTAAAGGTCTCGCGTGTCGGGGTGGTTATTATCGAGGTGGATTTTCTGTCCTCTATTGTGGCCCGGAGCTCCTGGAGAGATCTCGCCCTGGGGGAGGCCGTCTCGCTGGCGGCATCTTCGTGGCCCCAGGTCTGCTGCTGGGCGCGTGGCGGCCTGTGGCGTTCATGGTTGGAGGGGCGACTTGTTCTTTCTCCTACGCCTCCTTCTCCTCCTCCTCCTTCTCCTCCTCCTCCTTCTCCTCCTCCTCCTCCTCCTCCTCCTCCTCCTCCTACGCGACGAGCAGGGAGACATCCGAAGCGATGGCCTGAATATGCTTCCGAGTAGCATGCGCATACTGTTGGACACATGTTCTCCATCCTTGCCCGGTGTGCATTGATGCCAGCGAGTCATCAAGGGCCTGACCTCCGTAGCCGGTCAGCTGATCCAGCTCTGCCTCTCTACCAGTAGTCCTCGGAGGACATCTCCGAATATTTGCTGCGCTCGCGGGTCGTGTGCAGCTTTCCTGTTGGGCCGATCTGCTCCCCGTTGGGCGCCTTGGGGTCTGCCCCCTTATGCGCGGGCAGGAAAGGGTGCGAGCAGACAGTCTCTTACAGCCTGGATCTGGAATTTGAACGAGGCCTCAGACAGCGAAAGGATCTTCGGCCACCTTGGGATATCCAACTCATCGCGGACCATGCTGTCCTCAGCGTCCTGCATCCTGGGGCCCATGAGCCGTCACAGCCTCAGGACATGTACATCGACCAGTGCTTGTGCAAGGTGCTGGGCGTCCGGCGCGACGACAGCCCGAAGCTGCTCGTGGAGAACCACTGCAACCCGCCAGAGGCCCTCCCAGGGGAGAAGCGGGGGCGCCAGCGTACGGCAATCGAAGCAGTGCGGTTCTCGGCCAGATTGACTGGATCTGGCTGGGCTTCACTTTGGGCGTCGCGTAGTTGGGGGCGAAGAATGGGAGGGCAGCAGGGGCCCTTTTGGGCCCCTCAGGGAGCACTCTCAGGCCCAGAAGGAGGCCCTTAGGCCCTGAAAGGTGCACCTTTCTTCCCGCCCCATGTATCGCCCCCCATGACTTCACGCCTGGTCACTTTTGTGATGTTCATGGATGCGATAACAGGTGGGCGCCACTACATTTTGAGTGCCATAGGGCATTCCAGGAGAGAGGGGAGAAGAGGGGATCATGCAGAAAGAGCGCCAGTGGATCACCTCGTAATTGAAAAAGGGGGGGTGCTCCCAGAACCCCCCCCCTTCAGGGCGGGGGGGAGGGGGACATTTTCGGACCCCCCCCCTTGGCGCTGGAGACGGGGGGGGGGGGGCGATTTCGGACCCTCACCCCTACCCCCCTTTGGCCAGGCAAGGAGCGCTGGAGGCTGGGGTTTAGGTGGTGGTTCGGGTAGAGGTTCGGGTTAGGGTAGGGGTTAGGGTAGTGTTTAGGGGTTAGGGTTAGGGCCTAGGGTTAACATAAGAGATTAGGGTCAGGGTTAGGGGTTAGGGTAGGGTTTAGGGGTTTGGGTTAGGACATAGGGTTGGGGTTAGGGATTAGGGTCAGGGTTAGGAGTGGGGCTAGGGGTTAGGGGTCAGGTTAGGGTTAGGGTTTAGTGTAGGGGTTAGGGTTAAGGTTAAGGGTTAGGGTAGGGGTCAGGGAAGGGCTGGGGGTTAGGGTTAGGGTTTCGAGGTTTGGATTAGAGCTTAGGGTAAGGTTTAGGGATTAGGGTCAGGATTAGGGGTTAGGGTAGGGTTTAGGGGTTAGGGTTAGTTCTTAGGGTTAGTGTCAGGGATTAGGGTCACGGTTAGGGGCTAGGGTTAGGCGTAAGGGGTAGGGTTCGGGTCAAGACTCCTTCCCCGCCCGCAAGCCGTCTCGCTCACTCCCTACCCGCCCTCCCAACACATACGTAGCACCCGAGCCTGGCCCGAGCCGCAGCATACGCAGCAGTCGTCTTTGGATGGGCAGCTACTGGGGGCGAATCCGCCGCCGCCGCCTCCGCCGCCGCCGCCGCCCGCCGCCGCCGCCGCCGCGCCGCCGCCGCCCGCGACCGCTGTCCGTCGCCGCCGCCGTCCGCAATCGCCCGCGCGCCGCCCATCGCCGCCGCTGCCGCCGCCGCCGCCGCCGCCGCCGCCCCCGCTGCCGAATCGCCGCCGCCGCAGCCGCTGCCGCCGCAGCCGCTGCCGCCACCGCCGCCGCCGCCGCCGCCACCGCCGCCGCCGCCGTTCCCGCCGCCGCCGCCGCCACCGCCGCCGCCACCGCCGCAGCCGCCGCAGCCGCTGCCCCCGCCGCAGCCGCCGCCGCCGCCAAGTGTATTCAGTATTGTTTGTTGAAAGTTATGGTGGGGGAAGGCCGCATCGGTATCTCTGCGCATGTCCGAATTTGGAGCCAGAGTGTGTGTTTGTATTGTTCTTTACAAGGGATGGTGGGAGGGGCCCGCATTGACCTTGGTTGGCTTCCAGTCGCCTGGGGGAAGGGGTGTATATTAATAGGGAGCAGTGATTTAGGGTAGGGGTTAGGGTCAAGTTAGCCAGCTCGAACGAGCCAGAGGGCTCCGTCCACTCCCCCCCGCCCCCCCCGCAATATAAGAAGCAAGTGCGTCGCGTCCGACGCCTGTCGCTCATCTTATATCGTGGGCGGCTAGACGTTCAGCGCGCGACATGAGCTGCGTCCGATTCCTGCCGCGTATTGAGCAGCGTCGACGAGAAACTAGACCGCGCGCGATGTACGCCGCGCCCCGCTCCGGCCTCCCATGTTGCATCGTCGGCGAAAACATGTCCAGCGCGCGAAGTGCGCCGCGTCTCATTCCAGCCACGCGCGTTGCACCGCCAATTGTTTCGATCCTGCCGCGCATGGGGGAGGGGGAGGAGGAGGAGGAGGAGGAGGAGGAGGAGGAGGAGGAGGAGGGGAGGGAAAGAGGGAGGGAGAACTGAGGAGGAAAAGGAGAACGCCTCTTGGGAATTCGCGGGGCGTCCTGGGAGCTTTCTGGCATACGTACGCCTGAGGGCCTCTTGGATATATCTTCTGGGTTGGAACATTGTCAACACAAGTAGGTGTTAACCTCACAGTCTTCCAAACACCAAATGCAAATTAATATTTGTGCGCTGCGTTTTGGCCCTCGGGGGGGCCCTCTTTGCCACGGCCAGGGGGGTCCGGGGGGCGATTTTGGTTTGGTTTGTGCGCACCAAGGGTCACTGTTGCCAAGGGTCTCTCTTACGTGGACACGACAACGGGCGCGCTGGCGGCGAACCTTACTTGTTCGAGGCATCATGACTTGCCGCCCGCCCAGCTCCTCAACCCGACGGGCCGCAGCGTCGACGACAAGAAAGTCCATGTTGACGAGCAGGCGTCCCCGCGCGATGCGCGCCGCGTCCCATTCCCGATTCCCGCTACGCGGTTCGCAGCGCCGACGACGAGAAAGTACATGTTGGCAAAAAAACGTCGCGTAGGGGTGGCCAGGCGCCCGCGCGCCATGTGCGCCGCGTCCCATTCCTGCTACACTTTTCGCAGCGTCGACGACAAGAAAGTTTATGTTGACGAGCAAAACGTTGACTTTGTATTTTTTGATAGGTAGGACGCGACCGCCCACTTGGGGTTGCCCAAGCGATGTTCATTCCGTTCAAGTTCTGCTACACTTTTCGCAACTCGACGACATGTTGGCGGGGGGGGAAATTAGTTTGTGCTGTTTTTGATCATTGGGATGGCGGGGTTGTTTTCGGCCGGCTAGGTGGGGATGTGGGGGTGTTCAATCATAAGGAGTAAGGATTTGGGTTAGGGGTTAGGGCTGATTTAGGGGTTAGGGCTAGGGTGGGGTTAGGGTCGGGAATCAAGGTTGCCAGCTCGAACGAGCCAGAGGGCTCCGTCCACTCCCACCTGCCCTCCCGCAACATAAGAAGCAAGTGCGTCGCGTCCGACGCCTGTCGCTCATCTTATACCGTGGGCGGCTAGACGTTTAGCGCGCGACATGAGCTGCGTCCGGTTCCTGCCGCGTATAGAGCAACGTCGACGAGAAACCAGGCCGCGCGCGTTGTACGCCGCGCCCCGCTCCGGCCTCTCATGTTGCATCGTCGGCGACACCATGTCCAGCGCGCGAAGTGCGGCGAACCGCACTTGCTTGAGGCATTCTGACTCGCCGCCCGCCCAACTCCTCAACCCGACGGGCCGCAGCGTCGACGAGAAGAAAGTCCGTGTTGACGAGCAGGCGTCCCCGAGCGATGTGCGCCGCGTCCCATTCCCGCTGCGCGATTCGCAGCGCCGACGAGGAGAAAATACATGTTGGCAAGAAAAACGTCGACGTTGCGGTGTTTTTTGGCAGGTAGGACGGGGGGTCCCGCGTTGGGTTGGCCAGGCGTCTGCGCGCGATGTGCGCCGCGTCCCGTTCCTGCTACACATTCCGCAGCGCCGACGACAAGAAAGTCCATGTGTTGTCGAGAAAAACGTGGACTTTGTATTGTTTGCTTGATAGGTAGGACGCGACCACCCGCTTAGGGTTACCCAAGCGATTTTCATTCCGTTCAATTCCTGACACAGTTTTCGCAACTCGACGACACGCTGGCGAGAAAAAATTGGGTTTGTGTTGTTTTTTATAGTTAGGACGGCGGGGGTGCTATCGGCCGGCTAGGCGGGGGTTTGGGGGTGTTTAATCATAAGAAGTAAGGATGAGGGGCCGTTAGGGTTAGGGTCAAGTGAGCCAGCTCGACTCCCACCCGCCCTCCCATAACATAAGAAGCAAGTGCGTCGTGTCCGACGCCTGTCGCGCATCTTATATCGCGGGCGGCTAGACGTTCAGCGCGCGACATGAGCTGCGTCACGCTTCTGCCGCGTATAGAGCAACGTCGACGAGAAACCAGACCGCGCGCGTTGTACGCCGCACTCCGCTCCGACCTCTCATGTTGCATCGTCGGCGACACCATGTCCAGCGCGCGAAGTGCGCCGCGTCCCATTCCAGCTATGCGCGTTGTACCGCCAATCGTTTCGCTCCTGCCGCGTATGGAAGGGTGAGGAGGGTGAGGAGGGTGAGGAGGAGGAGGAGGAGGAGGAGGAGGAGGAGGAGGAGGAGGAGGAGGAGAGGAGGAGGAGGAGGAGGAGGAGGGAGGAGGAGGAGGAGGGAGAGGAGGAGGAGGAGGAGGAGGAGGAGGAGGAGGAGGAGGAGGGAGGAGGAGGAGGAGGAGGGGAGGGAGAGAGGGAGGGAGGGAGAAAGTGAGGAGGAAGAGGAGAATGCTTCTTGGGAATTCGCGGGGCGTCCTGGGAGGTTTCTGGTCTACGCCTGAGGGCCTCTTGGATATATCTTCCGGCTTGGAACATTGTCAACACAAGTAGGTGCTAACCTCGCAATCTTTCAAACACCAAATGAAAGTCAATATTGTAGTGGTTTTCGGCCAGTGCCGCCGATCCGGGTCGCTCGGATGCACATATTACGCGGACACCTCACGCACGCACGCGACCAAATGCACATACGGCAGACACACATACAGAGACACATTAGGCGCACGCCAGACACTAGCACGCACAGACATTCGCAGACACGCACCACACACACAGACACTCGCACAGGAGCCTGTCAGGGCGTCATGGGGGTTTCTTCGGGGTTTTGGGGGGCCTTTTTGGGGGCAATTGGGGCCTCCTGGGGGCCTCGTGGGCTGGAAGGCTAGATCTTTATTTTTTTCGTTCCTCTTTTGGGTCCTCTTGGGGCCGTCTTGGGGGCCTCTTGGGCCGTCTTGGGCGGCTCTTGGGCCGCCTTGGGGCTCTCTTGGGCCGTCTTGGGACTGTCTGGGGGCATCCTGGGCCGTCATCGAGCGGTCTTGGGGGCCTCTTGGGCCGTCTTGGAGCGTCGGAAAACCGAAAAAAACGA